GTGGGGACCAGTCCCACACAGACATATGGCCTGTGGAGGAAGCGTCGTTGGGACTGGCAGTGGCATTGAACGATTACACGACACACCTTGCTGTGAAGCACCGGTCAGGATGGTAGGTCACGAGGGATGATACCACACGTCGAGATAATGTCTCCTAATGACCCGCTAGAGCACGTACTCAAATGGGGCCCACCATGTCTCAGGCCAGATGTCCTCTCTGGTATGTCCTCTCTGGTAGACTCCGTCACCTATAAAAGGGATGAGATCCCACCTGATAAGGTAAATGAGATATTTAATGGTCCGGTTAGAATATTTGTGAATGAAAAATATTCCTTTTTTTTAAAAAAAAACTTTTCGTTTTTGCATTCTTTTATCTTTTAACTTCGGATATTTAATGGTGGTAGTAGGAACAAATACTTTTCCCCTAAAATACTTCTAATTTTTACCAATCAAAATGGTCCCATCTCCGTATCAAATTAAATATGGTTTCTACCAATACTTCTGCACCAAAACGGCCTCATATACAAATGCGCCCACAACAAAATAATTTTCCATTTACAAATATTCTAACCCAACCGACGGCTGCAGTTGCGTGGAAAATCGTTTGCACATTCTCTGAATAATAATAATAATAATAATAATAATAATAATTCTCCCTTTAAATGACTCTTTTGAGTGTGCCAATGAACCAGACATCGATCACTTGGGCAGTCCAAAAGACCCTCTTTTAATGGCTTCCAAAAGCCTATTTATCCCTTCACAATGAAAAAACTTCCCTTCCCAATTCTCTCCCATACATGAAATCAATATTTTCCTGCCTCCTACCATCTTCTATAATGGCAAAAACCATGTGCACCATCTGTACGGCCACCAAAGCCGCCGCTGACATGTTCAACAGCGGTGGCTGCTCCCACTCCGTCTGCACCGATTGCATCTCGAACCATGTCGTCGCCAAACTCGAAGACAACGCAGCAAACTTGAAGTGTCCAGCGCCGTACTGCGAGGCGGCGCTGGCGCCAGAAAGATGCAATTCATTCCTTCCCAAACAAGTGTTGGAGTGCTGGGGGAATGCCCTTTGCGAGGCCATGACAAAGGAGCTGGCCGAGAGGATGAGTTGGAAGAAATGTCCCCACTGCAAGATTTATGTGGAGAAGACTGAAGGTTGCTCCCATATCATCTGTATGTGTACGTTTGAGTTTTGTTATAGCTGTGGAGGAGGGTGGAATAGTAACCATGCGTGCCCTCAATAATTTACCTCTCTCTTGATAAATTCATATTATATCGTACTTGGCTCCTCGACCATGAAGATAAAAAATGTAATGATGACGAGGATAAGATTTAATCTTCATTGTGGAGAAGTCTAAGTATTTCACTTTCTTTGAACAACTTTGAGAAATAAGATTTCTGGTTCTAGATATAGTTTAATTCTTCTTGTTACATGAATAGCAAAATTGATGTTATGACTTTTAATCTATCAAGGCAGAAAGATTGAGACGAGACTTTAGTTAGAGTAAATTTAATCATTTCTAAATATATAAATCTTAACACTCTTGATATAGGATTCAAATATATATTACCTTCTGTTTCGAATGTCATATTAATTCATCAATCAATTCAAAAATTAAAGTAAACTTAATCATTTAAATAGATACCATTAACATATGTTTACGAGTTTTTAATCATCCATTATGATCCTATCAAATATGGGTTTGTATGTAGTCTTTCTAGATCTTGTTTCCAAGGCCAACCCGGAAACAAAAAATGCAAAGAGAGATAATTTTTTTGGGATTTTTTAAAAAATAAAAGCTACCAAAATTATAGTACAGTCAGTAAAAATATAGGGGAATAAGTATTGTTATTTAGAGGGTCAAACTATCCACTAATTAAATAAAGAGTGAAGCATGTTTGTACACATATAAGAGAAGCAAACATTGGTATGCTAAAACATTAATTTATCTAAGAGAGGGGAAAAGCATTTAATTTGTCAAATTATCATCGACAAGTGGAAAAAATGACTTTTTCCTGAACACACGGGTCCACACTAAACAAATCAAAATCAATAAATTCCATTCTAACACAAACCCAAACATAGTGGCATTGAAGTTTGGTGCCGGCAAAACTCAAATTTTCTTATTTCACAGACATGTATTTGGCATATGTAATTCTTCACTTTTGGAATTCATCCAAATTCATACCAAAAAGAAAATGAAAAGCTTTTGTACTATGTGATTTTTTAGAATGCAAAGATTGTTAGGGTCTAATGGAATTTATTTTTTACTTTTTGATACGAATTTAATAGAATTTCTTAATAAATACATATAATTTATATAAGTTAACAAATACATATAATTTAACGACTTATTTATAATTAGTGGCGGATGTACGTCCGGAACTTTAAAATGATTTGCAAATTAGTATAGTCTAAATCATAAAATCGGTCATCCGCTTCACCCTAATAAACTAGCCATGCTCAGGTCCTTCGTATTGATAATTTGTTTGAGTTTTCATTAAAATATATATGTATTTTTTAACAAATATATATATACATACATATATATATATGCAGAAATTTGCACCAATCATCTAGAATATGAGGGATCGACGTGACCTACAAAACTAAAATAACACTAAGACTGGTGTGCTCCTGTCACACAGGTTCCGATGTTTAAGTTAGTATCGAAGTAGTCGAGAGTAGAGAGTAGAGTATTCAACGTAAGTTTAAATTTGGCTTACTCTCGTTTTTATAGGAGTTGAATCCTGATGATTGTAGAATTCGAATCTTGACATATTTAGGAAATTTGGGTCAACATATGGGACTGTTCTCGTCAGATCAAGAGTCAGAACACGATGGGCTCGGGCCGGCATGCATCGCTGTTAAGTCAGGTCTTCTAGAGTTCTCGGTCGAGGGTCGAGAATTGCTTGGCTCCGACCACTAGTCGGCAGGGGGCCGGCTGGGATTGCCGAGCACCGGCCCCCTTTCTGGTTCGTGCCTTCTCTTGGCTCTTCCCCGATCTTCTCTCATTTCGTTGGATCTTCTCTTTCTGCCTATAACAAAATATATATATATATATATAGTCTTCCAAAAATATATATATATATATATATATACATATTTATTGTTTTTATTTACTTTTTGAAATATATAAAAACTCATTTTTATCGTTAAAGGAAAGTTATATCATTTATAAAAATGAAATCTATTCCTAAAATATGTAAATAATGATAAATATATATAATCATTATAATTTTTTGTTCTAATTTATTTTTCTTTATTAATGAACTGGTTTCTCTTTATAAAATATATATATATTCCATTCACAAATCAAACCCAACCGACGCCTGCAAGTTGCATTGGAATTCGTTTTCCCACACATTTTCCTAAATAATAATTCTTCCTTTAATTCACAATTGTGACAGTGAACCATGCAGACCATCACTTGGGCAGTCCAAAAGACGCTCTTTTAATGCCCTATAATTTATCCCTTCACAAACATAAAAAAGCAATCCTCTTCCCAATCCTCTCCCATATATGAAATCACTACTAATTTCCTGCTTCGTATTATCATCTTCAATAATGTCCAAAGGCGAATCCTCTGCTTCCAAAACCACGTGCACCATCTGTACGGATGCCAAAGCCGCCGCCGACATGTTCACCGGCAGCGGCTGCTCCCACTCCTTCTGCACCGATTGCATTGCGAGCCACATCGCCGCAAAACTCGAGAACAACGTGGCCAAAGTGACGTGTCCAGAGCCAAACTGCGACGCGGCGCTGGAGCCACAAACATGCAGTTATTTCCTCTCCAAAGAGGCGCTGGAGCGCTGGGGAGACGCCCTGTGCGAGACCATGATCCTGGGGATGCACAAACTCATCCTCTGCCCCTTCGTGGACTGCTCGGCGACGATCATCGACGAGGCGGCGGCGGTGGCGGTGACGGCGGCGGAGTGTCCCTGCTGCCACAGAATGTTCTGCGCGCAGTGCGAGGTGGCGTGGCATGGGGAAGTGAAATGCGAGGAGTTTCAGAGGCTGTGCAAAGAGGCAGGGGGAATCGATGATTTCTTGACCATGCAGCTCGCTGGGCGCAAGAACTGGAAGAGATGTCCTCATTGCAAGATTTATGTGGAGAGGACTGAAGGCTGTCCACATATCAAGTGTAGGTGTGGGTTTGAGTTTTGCTACAGCTGTGGACACAAGTGGCATGGTAACCATGCATGTCGATAATCGGCTCATGCACGATACGATGATTCATCGATCAGCACTCATCTCTCGATAATCGACTTTGTAATTTCTTCAAAGAACTTTTTGAAATATGACTTCTCTATTTGAATGGAACCATCTTTCTTTTGATATGGATTAGTAATCAATTTAGATATATAAAGATGCAGAGCTCCAAAACGATCTAATTACGTTTAACAATCAAAACTATCCATTATCTTCATATCAAAGAATTTTCTTTTAAATGCGAAGATATTAAGATTTTTTTCAAGACAAATTAAGAATTTTCTCAAAATATATATATATATATATATATTTTGGTTAAAAACATATTTAGTTCGTGTACAACCAAGGATTTAGTCTTTAAACTTTCAATAACAATTTGGTATTTATAGTTAAGTTTTTGTTAGGATTTAACATAAATTTTAGGTGTAATGTCAAGACCTATTACATTTGGAGACTTGGGGAGAGAAGTAGGAAAAAAAGGTACCTCTCAAATTGAATACAGTCTACGCCGTATTCATCTACCGATAACAGTCCACGTGATTTTACTTATATTATTGTTATTGTATTGAGGTTAGTGTTAATTATTGTTTAGATTCTCTATAAACAGATTCACTGGCTTTCTGTATGTATCAGGAGTTTCTAGCTATTATATAAGTTCTTCAGTAATTGAAATTCATTAAGACGTGTTTACTTACCCGTAATTTTAATGGTAATAAATTGGAATGAGAATATTATTCCTTTGATGTTATTTACGAGAAATTTTCTGCCATCGTAATCAGGATTTCTTTGATGTTGTTTACTAAAACTGTCTGGAATCGCAATCATAATCACATATATAACAATTACTAGTATATCCCTTTCTCATTTTTAGCTAATTACAAATTCATTACTGTGCTAATCTTTTTTAATTATAATAATAATAAATTTTAATTTAATTTATTACTATATTATTGATAGTAAACTTTTTTTATTATCAGTTTATTTAATATTAATAAATAATGAATAATTAAAATAAAATTACATCAAATAATATCTCTTCATATTAATTAATATAAATTTATAATATTATATAATAAAATAACATCAACTAATAAAAATTGAAGTATAAATGAAGAATATAATATAAAAGTATAAAAAATATTAATTAAAAATTGTATGGCCTAATTAATAATTTAATAGATGAGACAGAAATGGTAGAAGTGGTAAAATAATTATAATAAATACATGGGGCTTACGGAATAAGCAATGAGAATGAAATTGATGGGGTTATAGGAGATTACACCACGCAATCCGGTGTTTCATGGAAGAACTAAGCATGTGGAGATTGACTTTCACTTTGTTCGTGAAAGGGTTGTTCGGAAGGATCTTGATTTGAAGTTTGTCTCTTCTATGCTTCAGCTGGCGGATCTACTAACCAAGCCTCTGACTACTGCTCGTTTTCAATTTTTAAAATCCAAACTCATGTCTTCTTAGGACATTTGTTTGCGGGGTATGTTAATGATAGATATTAAATCTGTTACTAAGTTGTTATTAGTACAGTTATTTGGTTAGCAGTTGGGTATTGTAATCTGTATATATATGTAAGCTTACATTATTATCAGTGAATGAGAAAAGCACTTCCTTATTTTGGAAGATTATAATAGTTTAGGGAATAGGATTACAAAGTTTGATGTGGGTAATACCATTTGATTTCATTCTTACGATTTGGTAAACGCCATCAAACGGAATGAAATATTGCAGGGAAGTAAACAGGACCTAATATAATAGGCATGCTATTCTCGTATAAAAAATAAATAATTTTAACTTGGTATCAGAACGTTAGCCAGTATTGTGACAAAGTTTGATCTGGATGATTTCAGAAAGCATGGTGATTATAATTTCATTCTTTGAAAATTTCAAGTGATGACAGCACTCGAAGGTCGTGGTCTGGAATCATATATCGATGGTGAAATTGAACCTCCTCCACAATTTATTCAGGTTAGTGAAGGTTCTTTAAATACTGTGAAAGTAAATCTTGCTTTTACAAAATGG